TTATTTTATTTTATTATATATTATTTTATTATAGATCAGAGATTGCTTCCTGTATTTAAAAATTATCATCCTGGGAAACCATCAAATCGTTTATATATAAAAAATCTTGCAAAACAAGTTGAAGAAAAAGATCTCCATTTTATTTATCGAAAATATATAATACCCGAATTAAAAGCAGAATTTGAGTAAGTATCTTTAATTAAAATATTCTTATATAGAATTTTTTGTGAATATATTTATCATATAATTATTTATATAAAAAAATTATTTATTCATTTATTTATTTATTTTTTTAGATATGATGTGCGACTTATGCAAGAAGGAAGAATGAAAGGTCAAGCTTTTATTACATTGCAGAATGTAGAACAAGCACAATTAGCTCTTGATGAAACAAATGGTTTCATTTTAAAGGACAAGCCTATGGTTGTACAGTTTGCTAAAATAGCAAAAAATTAATAAGAATATTAGAATATTAGAATATTTTCTCTAATATATTCTATATATGTATTATATTATTTATAATCAATATTCATTTTAATAAAAAAAAATTTTTTACACTTCCTAATAAATTTATATTATGTGCAATATTATATCTATTTACATTACGAAAACTTTAATCGTATATATGGATCTTAGAATCAATGCGGTAAAGTGATTAAGTTCAATACTTTTTATACAAAAGAATAAAAAATTTATATAAAAATTTATTCTTTTGTTATTAATAAATCATATTTATTAATTTAATAATATTTTGACATATTGATGCTAATAAATATTTTAATTTAATTTATATAAAAACTTTTGTAGATATATGAAACAAAATCTCGCTTGAGTTACTTAGTGGCATGTCATAGCCGCGTCAGCGGAGATCGGCGCCCGCCTGGCATACAGTAATTCGAAGACTTTCCACTAGAGTGCTATGTTTTGAGTTGTTCGATCTGTATCGTGTTAAGCGTTTGGTTCACCGATCACCGCTGAGTTGTAACCGTATGTGTTGTTGCCGTCACTATTGCCGTCCCTCATTTCCGTCGTCGATCTCGCACACGTTGACACGTCCTTTGTATTGCCATGGACGTCAGCTTGTTACTTCAGCATTCGCAATATGCATTACCTGTGGGTATCGTACTCATATGTGCGATTCTCGTTTTTGTCTTTGGTTTCAAGAAGGCTGAACAACCACCTTTTGCACAGCTTTCGGTAGGCTCCGACGTGGACCGGAAATTTACTAATAAGAAACGTATCAAGATCAAAGAAAAGGTTAGCACGATACAAGTAAATGATTTAAATGATATAAATCTTCTTTTTTTTTTTTTTCGAACCAATTAACAATGAAAATCTAACAATGTATACTGTTCACCCTCCATATGGTTGCTTATTTGTTACGAATATTTATACACGCATACATGATTCATAATCAGCTGGTATAACTATTTTAAAAGATTCCCTATTGTTTTTATCATTGCACATAAAACACAATTTAATTATGCATATTATCCTATTTAAAGCTATTTTTTTTATAAATTTTATTTATTATAATACACATGTTTTTTATTTATAAATTTTGAAAAATTTTATAATATAATATAATTATATCTTTAAAATCTGAAAAATTTGTTATTCTAAGTTTCATTATTTTTATTAAGTATTATTTATTGATATTATTTATAATATGTATATTATAGAAATCTGTTAATGGTCAAATTGTAATTGAAAAGACAAGTCCTATTAAAAAAAGTATATCAACAAAGACAGAGGCTTCAAAAAAAGTTATATCCAAACTAAATGATACTGAAGGAAAATTAAAGGAACGAAAACAAGAAGATAATAAAATTTCTATAACAAAAAAAGATAAGGATCAAGTTCTTATAAAAGTTGGTAAAGAAAACAAAATTGAACAAGTAAAAAATAAAAAGAATTTAAAAAACTTATTCCAAGAGAAACCAATAGATTTTGATGAAGGTAAGATTTAATTAAATTATTTTTAGAATTATATAATATTAAGAAAAGTATTAATTTTATATTTAAAATTAATACTAATTTAAAATATAGGTGATTGGGAACAAGCTTATTCCAAAAAAGATAAAAAAAATAAAAAAAAAGAGGAAGAATCTCCTTCAAAGAAAAATAAAAAGAGTACCAAAAAGGTTGATTTAATTAATGAAGAAGTAATTAAACAAAAGCTTTCAGAAAAAGTAGAAATTAAAGATAAAGTTATAAAGGAAACAGAAAATAAAGAATT